TTTAAGTTAATTAAAAGTCAATATATTTAACATACTTTATGTTAAATAAATTAACTTTTACTTTAAGTTAATTAAAAGTCCATATATTTAACATAAAGTTCAAGCTCCGTATTAGGGACAAGGAACAAACATTCTTTTTTTGAAGGGAGGCCACACAAAGTATTAAGTTATTTAATAGTCAATATATTTAACATGAAGTTACCCGAATTAATCTCTGACAAAAAAATCAGTATTTTCAGTTTTTCTTAGTTTAAAGTGTTGTCTAATGGAGTTTAAAAATAATATAGTGCCTTAATAAATGACAAAATACTACCAAACATTACTGCGTTTAAGTCTTTATCATATTGCCATATGAGTTTGCATTTCAAGTTTACGGCTGCACGAAATAAGCTGTGAGCCACTGTACGGAAAATCTAAATGAAACTAATTCCTTCTATCTGGAGATACTTTTTATACCCGTTACTCGTAGAGTAAAAGGGTATATTGTATTCGTGCAAAAGTATGTAACAGGTAGAAGGAAGCGTTTCCGACCCTATAAAGTATATATATTCTTGATCAGGATCACTAGCCGAGTCGATATAGCCATGTCCGTCTGTCTGTCTGTCCGTTTGTCTGTCCGTATGAACACTGAGATCTCGGAAACTATAAAAGCTAGAGGATTGGCAGTTTGCATGTAGATTTTAGGAGTTCCTACGCAGCGCAAGTTTGTTTCAAAATGGTGCCACGCCCCCTCTGACGCCCACAAGCCACAAGCTGTGGCCAAAGTTTTGATGATATTATGAAAATTTTAATTGATATGTATTTGTTTCGTCAATAAATATCGATTGGCCTAATAAAAGTTTGCCACGCCCACTCTTACCCTGTTTACCTTATCTCTAGAAACCTCCCAATTCCCAAATATTTGGAAGGAATCATTTGTTATTCCTCTTCTCAAAAAAGGTAACAAGTTAGAAGCCAGTAACTACAGAGGTATTTCTAAGTTGTCAGCTATTCCTAAGCTTTTTGAAAAAATTATTACTCCTCATTTGCAGCACCTTTGCAGATCAATCATTTCTCCGTGTCAACACGGATTTATAAAACGTAGATCCACAATCACAAACCTTCTAGAGCTCACTACATTTGTGATAAAAGGCTTCAATAGTAGTTTTCAAACAGATGTCATTTACACTGACTTTAGTAAAGCATTTGACTCTGTAAATCACTTACTTCTCATTCAAAAACTTGACCTTTTAGGTTTTCCAGTTGATCTGCTTAAATGGATTTCAAGTTATCTAAATGGCAGGTCACAAAGGGTCCTTTTTAAAAATTCAATTTCTGAAATTCTCCGTGTTACCTCCGGTGTCCCACAAGGGAGCCATCTGGGTCCGTTACTTTTTACATTATTTATTAACGATCTTTCATCAATTATAAGTCATTCTCGCGTACTTATGTACGCAGATGATGTTAAGTTGTGCCTGCAGTATAAGGACATTTCCTGCCATTTAGACTTGCAATCCGATCTAGATAATTTTCAAAACTGGTGCCGAGTTAATTTACTAAATTTAAACGGTTCCAAGTGCAAGCTGATGACTTTTTATCGGGCCAATCCGATATACGCGACTTACACGTTAAGTGGCAGCTCTTTGGATAGAATAACTCTTGTAAACGATCTTGGCGTTCTTTTGGACCCTAAACTAAAATTTTCTAATCACATTTCGTCCATGGTTAATAAAGCCAGAGGAGTGCTTGGATTTATTAAAAGGTGGTCAAAAGAATTCGATGATCCTTATTTGACTAAAACTTTATTTATTTCGCTAGTCCGTCCGATTCTGGAGTATGGGTCTCCCGTCTGGAGTCCACAATACGGAATACATATTGGTCGTATTGAATCTGTACAAAAAAACTTCCTTCTTTTTGCTTTACGGCGCCTAAACTGGGATGCAAATCTTATCTTACCTTCTTATTCTAGTAGACTTCTTTTGATTAATTTACCATCCCTAGCCAACCGTAGAACGATGCTTGGTACTATCTTTATTTATAACCTTATACATGGTGATATTGACTGCCCCGACTTGTTAAGTCGGCTAAACTTTTCTGTGCCAAGTAGATTAACTAGAAATTATTTTCCCCTAATTTTAAATCATTGTAGATCTAACTATGCCTTGCATGAGCCTTTCAGAGTATTATGTTCTGACTATAATAGACTTTTTCCTGTAATATCAAATCTTGACTCTCTGCCGCTCCTAAAACGATTGATACTTGCTTCATTGGCACAAGATTGATCTAACTATTACTTTTTTCCCCGGACCTTTACCTTTATTTTCCTATCTCGCGTCTATCTTATCGCGAATCGTGCCGTACGATACACGGCTGCGCCCCTCGGTCGGTTGGGCGGGTAAGTGGGCCGTGGGACTCCGCGCGAAAAAAAAAAAAAACCATTAAACGCTTAAGCCTGGCTAGCGCATACATTTCCGCCTTTCATGGCGCCATCTAACGGATGACTTTGGAACAACTGGCCAAGGTGCTCAACAGGGTCAACGTTAATTCTCGATAAGGATTTCTATTAAAGGAAATTGCGATAGTTTTCATCTAAAGTTGTTTAGCTGGGTAACGGGTATCTAATAGTCGAGGCACTCGACTATAGCGTTCTCTCTTGTTTACTCTTCGATAACTACAAATTACTAGGCGGCGAAAACGTGAAATGTTCAGTCGTGTTTTGAATTTCTTGGGATCTAGACGAGTTAAAACTTTTGGCAATGCCTGGAGAACGGACTAGCTATAACTTAATTCAAAAGGTTTATTGGGATTTATCTAACGGAAAAGCAGCAAAAGAGGTGGCTAATTTGCACAATATTAGACTAAGAACCGTTTATAATATTAAAAATCGCGCGGAAAAAGAATACAGGCTGGACTTAAATAGTTCAAATGGCAGACCCAAAAAACTTTCGCGACAAGACCGTGCAAAATTAAAAAAAAAACGCAAAGAAGCCTTCGAAAAATAGCAAGAGATCTTAAAATCGTAAGCCATGAGACAGTGCGAAAGGAAATATATTGCTACAAGTATTTGCCACATGGGGCAAGAACGAAACCCTTCCTGACTGCTGTCGATACTGAAAACCGTTTGAGATTTGGATTATTGAATTCTAATAAATCGCCGGAGTACTGGAAGGACGTCATTTTTTGTGACGAGACCAAAACAATGATATATTATCATGACGGAGCAAAATATGTGAAACCAAATACAGCCCACCAGGATAAAAATATTGTGCCAAAAGTCAAAATTGGGAAATTTTCAGTTATGGTGTGGGGTTGTATATCATTCAAAGGCGTTGGAGAGCTCCGTATATTTAACGATATAATGACCAAGGAATTCTATTTAGACATTTTACAAATTGAATTGACCAGAAGCGCCCAAAAATTTGGCTTCGTTGATCCCGAAAACAGAAGTAAACTCAAATACAAGCTGTAACCGGTAACCGATAACCCGGAACACAAATCCCATGACTCCCGCTCCTGGACACTTTATAACTGCAGAAAAGTTATTGACAGGCCCGCCCAGAGTCCGGATCTAAATCCTATCGAAAATTTGTGGGCATTACTTAAGAAAAAGGTAGCAAAACGCCGCCCCACTTCTAAGCCTGCCATAATAAAGTGTATTAATGAAGAGTGGCAGAAAATACCTGATTATTACGATGTAAACAAATTAATTTCGTCGATGCCCCGTCGCCTCAGAGCAGTAGTGGAGGCTAATGGCGGGCATGGTAAATATTAGCCAATTATATCTCATTATAACAAAGATATAGTCTTTTAAAAACAAATGTTTGGCTTTGCAAATAATTTAATAAATATTCTTGACCTTAATTTTTCTTCTTATTTGTACATTTTTATTTAATAAACTTATAAATATAAATGATTCTTTGTGACGTGAGCATGAACTGGGTGGTTAGTGGATGACTAAAGATGCTTTCCAATATTGTCATTACTGCTGCTGAGTCAAATAATAAACAGACAGCAACAGCAACATGAGGGAAATTGCCTTTGCAACGAACGTTTAGCTTTTCAAAGTTTGGTTCAATGAAATCCCTCGCTTTCTTGATAGCCCTTTTTATACCCTTGCAGAGGGTATTATAATTTTGGTCAAAAGTGTGCAACGCAGTGAAGGAGACATTTCCGATCCTATAAAGTATATATATTCTTGATCAGGATCACCTCCTGAGTTGATATAGCCATGTCCGTCTGTCCGTCTGTCTTTTTCTACGCAAACTAGTCTCTCAGTTTTAAAGCTATCGAGTTCAAACTTTGCACACACGCTTCTTTTCTTTGCACGTCGGCCGGGATCGGCCGACTATATCCTATAGCTGCCATATAACTGATTGATCGGAAATGCCATAACTTTGGTGTTTGTAAAGTTAGAAAGTTGGAATTTTCTATGGGTTTTATTTTTAGCCAATCAATCCGACCTACCAAATTTCATAAGGATCGGCCGACTATATCCTATAGCAAATGCCATAACTTTGGTGTTTGTAAAGTTAGAAAGTTGGGATTTTTTATGAGTATTAAGAATGCATCATATGAATAATTTTGGAGAATATAATTTACAGAGTATTCTGCAAGGGTATATCAACTTCGGCTCCGCCCGAAGTTAGCTTTCCTTTCTTGTTTAACTATATAATAAAGATCCCATAGGAACAACGGGGAAAAAATATAAAAAAAGTATAACTTTGTTGTTTTACCAATAGGTAGAACTGTTCCAACTGAGCGTTCCGAGTTGGGTGAATCCTCAGACACTGCTCCTCGTTGAGTCCTGTATATGGCGTTTTCATTGTTTGTCACGTGCGACCACTTAAACCGAATGAGGAAAAAAAATGCACACAAAAAAGACAGGCAGGGGAAAAATGAAAGTGAAGAGCTTGAAGTGAAGGGAGCGTCCCCCTTCATTTCTCTCCCGGTATTCTCTTTCAGTCACTGTCTATCAAACATTTCATTAACCTCCCTTTTTTCTCTTTCGTTTTCTCCCCCAGCCCTTTATAATGGTCTCGAAGAAGCGTTCCAATGCCGCTGAACGCGTCCAGCGCTCGACGGCGACTGCGGCAGCGGCGGCAGCAGCAGCGGCCGCAGCAGCATCGGCCTCCTCGACGCAAGGCAAGAAGCGACCCGGGAAGCAGGCGAAAACCTCCAGCGCCGGCGATGAAGCAGAGGACAAAAAATCAACCAGCAAGTCGGATTCAAGCGCAGCGGGGTCTGCAGCCAAGAAGCCAGCCAAGGATCCCTCAGCGGGATCTTCGGGATCACTCACTGCCCCAGAGAGCAGCGGATGTGGAGCCGGAAAACCCACAGCCTCCACGTCATCGTCATCCACCTCAGCCTCCGCATCCGCGTCCACCTCCGCCCTCGCCACCGCCTCCCCCTCCAACAGCTTGAAACTGTCGCCCGAAGAGCGACACGAGGATGGCAAGGCGCGAGCCATCAACAAGATGCTCAAGAGTCTGGACATCAAGATCCACGGCTTCGACAACCTGCTGCCCAGCGGCGAGGAGCGGCTCAATGAGGGCGTGCTCAAGTCCTCCATTTCGGAGAACGTCAAGACCAAGTCGCGGGCAGCGGCGGTCAAGGTGATATCCAGCCTGAATCCCGGCAAGCTGCCGACTGTGAAGCGCGTGCGTCCATCCCCGGAACCAGTTAAGGACAAGGTTGCGGAGAAGCCTGCAGAGAAGGTTCCGGAAAAGGACAAACCCAAGTCAGAGCAGGAGATCACCTCACCCGCTCTAGAGGAATCTCTGGCCTCTAAGTTGCCCAAAAAGACGGTGCAGCAGGCCAAGAAGACCAAGGTGGAGCCATCGCCACAACAAACGCCCGCTGCAACGACAGCATCAGCAGCCAATCCGGGTCCAAGCTCCGCCAGTTCCAAGCAGTCAGCTAAGAATCCCGGAAGGAAACCAACGCAGCCAGAGCAGTCGAAGAAGGAGCCACCCAAGCCAGCCAAAATGGGAAAACCGAAGAAGGCGTCGCCAGGTCAGGAAGCAACCTTATTAAAGAACGCTTCCCGTCTGCCGGACTCCAATACAGAACCCGTGCAAATGGAGCTGGAGGAGATCGTTAGTACGCCCACGCCCACGGCCACACCGACGTCCTCAGCCACGCCTACGGCTACACCAACTCCTACAGCCACGCCTACGGTTACACCAACGCCCACGGCCGCACGCACTCGCACTCCTACGCCCACACCAACATCCACATCCGTTGCCACGGAGGCAGGTCATCCCACGCCGCCGCCACCACCACCAGCAGGTGCACTCAAACAGCGACCAAAGGTGAAGTACACGAAGACCTCGGCGGGATCGAAGGGTCGCATGCAGCAGGCGATGCACCAGAAGGCACCGGCTGCCTGCTGGAGCGGAGCCAAGGATATTTATGACTTTAAGTCGGGATCGGAGGACGAGGAGCCGATCAAGATGGTGCTGCCGTCGCTCAAGGAGCTGCGCGAGTTCTCCGATGAGGATAACAAGCCACTGAAGCTGTTTGAGCGGCAGGACAAAGCCAAGAGTCAGGTGGATGAGGAGGAGCAGCCCGTAGTCAAGAAGGAAGAGAAGCCGCCGGTTGAGAAGGAGGTGAAGGTGAAGTTCAAGGAAAAGGAGAGGGAAGTAGACCCTTTGATCAACGTACATCAGTCCGAACCAGTAGCCAAGATCACCAGCACCGCCTCCGCGTCGTCGGGCAAAAAGCAAGCCAAGCGCAAACTAGCCACTCCAACGCCCACTCCTTCGGTTCGCAAGAAGAAACCGGTGGGCAAGGGAAAGACCGCTCCAGCCAAGGAGCCACCTGCCAGCGGCAGTTCCGCGGAAAGCAGCTCATCCGAGGACGAACGGAAACTGAGTGCCTACACCGGACCCAAGCGACACCGCATGGCCTCGCTAAACGCGCTCGCGAAGGTGCAGTGCCTGTACGAGAACGAATCCCGCACCGCCCACGAACTGGGCTTGTCCAAGGCGACGCAGCAACCGCCGCGCATCCGGACGCTGGACGGGAGCGACGATGACAACCACAAGGACTCGCCGCGCCACGGAGACACGGACCGGGACAAGGGATCTGTGAGTCCGCCGCACCAGGCGGCTGCTCCTTCAGCCGTGTCGAGTGCTCCGCCCAAGGAGGCAGAGCCACGAAGGGAGCTGCGCTATGTGCCCGGTGGCAGAGGAGTGGGCAAGCACTGGGAGTTCGACAGCGACAGCGAGACCGAGGAACTGCAGCTCCAGCAGCCCCTGCCGCCAGTTAAAAAGAAGAAGCTGCCCAAGAAGGCGCCGCCCAAGAAGACTGCGTCCAGCGAGGCTGAGGCCAAGCGAAAAAAGAAGCAGGTCCAGATCGAAGAAAGCGATGAAGAGGAGGCCAGGGAAAAGGAGAAGCCCAAGCCACCAAAGCAGCTGCCGAAGAAGCGCAAGACCGCCTTCACTGAGGAGCTCATCGGGGATTACAAGGGCATCCTGGCCAGAAAGCGAATGGCCAGCCTAAACGCTAGCGCCATTGTGGCGGCCACCTACGAGGTGGAGCGGCACTTGGACAAGAACTTGGCCAGCGATTGCAGCAGCTTCGAGAGCTACGACGAGCTGGACACCATGCCCACCACCACCAGCAAGGCAGCGTCTTCGGCGGCAATCAAAACCGAGGTGATGCACATCAAGAAGGAGCCCAAGGACTCCAAGGAATCATTGCGCGAGAGGGAACGGGAAAGGGAGTGCGAGCGCAAGAGGGAGAGGGAGAACGAACTGAAGGATTCGACCGTCGGCAAGATGTCCAGTCATTCGATCATCGAGGAGAGCAACGACTCAAAGTACTCGAAGGAGACCAAGGAGACCAACACGGACACCACCATAACCACCACCGGCTACCGCGACTCGACTGCCAGCACCAAGGACGCCAAGGACTGCAGTCGGCCCACCTCCTCCTCCGTGGTTATTGTCCAGGACACGGACGTGACCATCACCGGCGTCTACGTGAACGCCAGCAACGGGGCCGCCCAGGAGGCGTACTGCAAGATGCAGTACCGCGTCCAGTCGAGCGTCACGGAGGAGCGCGTCCTGCGGCCCGGGTCCGTGGAGCCGCCCAAGTCATACACGCCGCTCAGCGCCCTCTCCAGCATGCTGCCCCCGGGTGCCAGTTCTGGACTTAGCGAGGGTGAGCAGAATATTTATCTTATTCTTGCCTGGATCAGGTTACAAAATCTTGTAGAATTTGTCATTTTTTGTCGTCCGAAATCTGTTCAGACATTTTTTATGTCTGCTTCATCAAGCCATCTTATTTATATGGTTTTTTTATTAAAGCATCTTTTCGTTGTCAACCGATAGCATTCTTGTGACAAAAGGAAGTTTCTTAGCCTAGTAAAATTTGTACTTCGGCATTTATTCAGAAGACATATATGTTCAAGTAAATAATATTGCTAATAATAATCAGCGGCTAATAATAATAAGCAGTCACTCTTGCTTTTTAATATTTTGTGAACCTTTTAAGTATTCTTTTGACAATTATCCGACGATAAGTCCTTATATTGTGTTGCCATCTGGTCGCTTGTATGTCCCATGAAATGAAACTGGCTCTACTCTATCTGGTAGTAAAAAATGGTTTTTCTGCTTTTTTCCACACCCAGTTTGACAACGATATGTGTCGAATCTTGAAAATGTTTACACCAACTAAGTTTGAAGGGTGGATAAAGCAGTCATCTGCTATATTGCAAAATAGCTAGAAACCCATGTTTTAACAATCTCCCAAATACTTTTTGTAAAATTAAACCGTTTAAAGCGGTCTTAGAGTACAACTGCTTACCACCAGATCGTTTAGAATAGTTTCTTTCTGGTTCCATTTCCAAGCAATATTATCAAAAGTAAAATAGTTGTTCCCTCTCTTTCCTCAATTTAATTAAACTGAAAACCTAATGTACATTTGTGATTCTAGTATTTCTATAGTATAAAACGACCGATTCGAAAAGCTTTTAGTTATTATATGGCCAGATTGCCGTTTAAATTGTCCAATTGTTTCTATGGCAATTAAATGGTATAGCCGTCCGATTCCGGCCGTTTCTACTATTATTTCCTGGAATAAAAAAGAAGACTAATTTAAAGCTTTATGCACATAGCTTGAAAACTAATACACCTATATTGACTGCATGAATTTGATCCATAATTAATAAACTTCATGAGATCAATAATATATTATTCTTTTTCTCGTATATCGATATAATGTTTCCATAAGACACTTTCGATTTTATAATCTATGCCTCGTTTCCAATTGTCCCACCAGCCCACAGCTCGCCGCCGCTTCCAGTCCATGCAGCACCGACGGGGCCGCATGTCCTGCTGCCCGGCGAGCACCTCAGCGCCGGGATGTACCACGCCCCCGATCTCGGCCTGCACACGGAGCACGCCCTGCCTGATCACCACGGCCCGCCGCCACCGTCGTACGCTGCTGCAGCAGCAGCTGCCGCGGCCGCCGCCGCCTACCACGCCCACCAGCTGGCACCGGGAGGCGGTGGCGTGCTGCACATGCACCACCAGCACCAATACGCCGCCCACGCGGCCCACGCACATCACTACCAGCAGGCGGCCGAGTACCATGGTGGGCTGCCTCCGCCACCACATCACTATGGCGGTCCGCCCCCACCGCCCCAAGGTCACTATGGCCCGCCGCCGGGAGCGCCCGTTCCGGTGCCGGTGCCGGTGCCCGTGCCGGTTCCGGTGCCCGTTCCCAATCCCGGGACCGTGCCCGAGCGCTGCGACGTGGGATCGCCACCGCCGTCGTATCGCGCCAGCGCATATCCGCCGCCTTCGAGTGTGGGCATGCCTCCGCCCACTCTGGGGGGTGGGTCGAGCGCCTTCTGTGCCCCGAGTCCACTGCACCATCACCAGCACCAACACCAGCACCAGCAGCCGGGGCCAGGAGTTGGGCCACCGCACCACGATCCCAGTGGTAAGTACTCGATAATATGTACTCTTACCTTTTGTACATACATACGAATGTAGTACGAGTTGAAATACAAGTGTATTTATTTTGATAAACAACCAAACATAAACAAAAACTTGTAATATGAAATTATTTACGAACAATGGTTATGTAAAGAATATTATTAGTCAGTCATAAACCTCCCTTTTATCTCAAAAAGTACGAACTTTTAACATTGTGCAGCAAAAAATCAATTCGATTACACTTTAGGGATCGATAAAATGTATTTTAACCTGGTATACAAATTTTTAATATTGCAGTTAGGATAGCTACCTTTTATAATAAATTCGAAGTGTAAGACTATACCAAACCATGATATGAATGGTATATATATACATATATATATATTTAAGAGTTGATGTACACATATATAAATGGTATAAATTTTTAAATCATGGTTTGGTATAGTTTTTTGTGTTGGAATTTATTATAAATCGCAGCAATGCACTTGTAGCTTTTAATTTCCCACTTATAAGAAACTTTCAAATTTAAGTATAATCTTCTTGAAACTTTACGAGTAGTAGTTGCTCCATTATTACTTTAAAATCGATAAAGTTCATGTTGCACTTGCAGTAACTTTTTCGTGGCCTAACTTAATTTGTTCTACCCAAGATAGATACGCTTTGGTTCTTTTAGAGAAGATTTTGATTTTTTATTGTCAAACAATAGGCAACAAATTTAGTTCTTACCGAAAAAAGTTTGCAACGCTAAAAATGTTTGCCTCATATTTGGATGGGGTTTTGGGGAGGCAGCTTGTGGCTGGGATTAGTTATTAAATAGGCGCAAAGATGTGTGCAGATTGCCGATGTCCTTTTGGCTTCCTTCCTTTTGCTATTCCTCGCTTTATTCCCTTCGTGCATCTTTCACCTTCTGCGGTCGGCGGCAAGAAGCATTGCATACACAGAAAAAAATGTATCTCATATAACGATTTTTGGTATAACTTTTGGATCAGATGTTAATTTAAAATAATGTCAAAATAATTTGATAATAAATACTAAGTAGCAGTTATATTAACAAAAATGGAATAACAAGATGACAGCAGAGCGGTTTGAATAATATTATGCACCGATCTGATTTTTTTACAGTATACACTTAGGCGCGTTCCCAATAAGCCTCTTGTATGTATGTGTGTGTATTGGGTGCGCCTGTGTTGGTGCTGGCCAAAGTCGGAAACTGTAAGCAGGCAAGCAGCAAACGGAAACGAAATGCAAGCAAAAAGTAAGCAAGCCTGCAGGCAGCGACTGAGAGGAGCCAGCCAACCTCCATTGATGTCATTTACCTTTCGACTTACACAGACACAGTCACACATACAGACACAGACACACGCCCATACCCATACCCATTTACACACACAGACATGGCGGAAGCAAAATGCATATTACAAAACTTGCGCTTAAACGCCTAAAAGCCGGCAGCATGTTTTTTACTTCGCATTTCTCTCACATGAGATGAAAATCGGTGGGAATGGGGCGTGCTCTCTGGCTGTTGCCTTTCGGCGCCAAAAACGTCGCATATCGATTTAAATTAATATGATAGAAATGAATCGCATCGTGTCAAAAAAAAACGTGTAATTCACTTTGTTGTTTTTCCACTAAGTTTAACTGAAAGGTCATAAACAGGTATAACAATAATTTATTACAATATGATTAAAATTTTGCAGGGGCCATCAAATCACTGTATAGTTTGGTCTCAGATCAGTTATTTTGTAGAATTTTCTGTTGGAATTTTGTTGTTAAGATTTTTAAATTGAATGATTTTTATATCAAACAGGAACAACATGATTCACAAAAACGATGTTATTCCTTTGGAAGATATTAATTCTTATTGTATACTTTTTTCGACAATTATTGTGTGAAATAGTTGTAAAACTGCTTTAAAAAATGACTGGGATCGTTCCGTACTACATTTGCAAATTGAGTAAACAATCAAGTGGGGAAGATTGATTCGTTTAGCATTTTTCTCATTCGCAGGATCGTTCAATGCCAACTCATTTATTCCACCCCATTGATTCATATCGTAGACGGGTTCTATCCAAACTCATTAATTATCCACAGTGTTCGCCGTCGTCGCCTTTGTCGGGTGCATCCTTTAAGTAGGCTATCCCCCTATTCCACGGCACTGGGAAAGCGGGAAAACTGTGGGTTTTCATTCACATTCACATCCACATGCACATCCACATGCACATCCTCATTCACATCCTCATTCACATCTCCATTTCCCATCGACCCCTTCCACCTCCATTCAAGTCCGCGTGAGTGTTTGTACTTTGCGCTGTGCTGACAGTTAGCACATGTTCTATTTGACGTTCGTTCATCCGTGCTGACATACACACACGCAACACAATGCACGCCAGGGTGGACCTGTCACTGGCTTCCTCTGGCTTTTCAATCGCGCAAAAATCATATTTTTCCATTGGGTTAAAAGGCTGCGAGACGAATTTAAATGTCAATTATAATGTTAATGTTTGTAATGCGGATTTGATCGTATTGATAATATTTACAGGCTATCGGTAAAATGAAAAGACTTTAATATAAATACTTTGGCATATTATCTAAGAAAAAACCATTTAAAATTCCCACATTCTGTAGCAGCCAAAACTTGAAAGATGGAGATTTGTGACCTGAAGTGAAAGGGAAACATTAGTTTTACATTTCGAATATTAAATGTTCTGTTTTTTTTTACTGCATTAATCGTGTATGATCTCCGCTTTATAAAATATGTGTGGATGTAATTAAAAAACTATATACGACCTTAATCTGCCTTAAATTCATTGCATTTGTGCACTTCAAATTGTGCACCACCGATGCATCGTCTACAACCAGCTTTTACAGGTTCACCCTCGCCACAGACTGACACTGCATTTGTGTGTATGCCAAAGAGAGAAAGAGAGAAAGAGTGGCCGAGAGAGAACTCGAACTCAAGCCGCTTGAAACTCGCCTTTCTTTGGATGCTGCGTCTCTGTTACCAACGCGGCGATAACAAGCCAACGGGAGAGCTAAAAAGGATTTGGCGTTTGCCTTTTTGGCCGCGTTTCGTCCGCTTTGTGCCGGCTCTTCTTCTCCTGGCTCTCGGTTCTTCGTTCTCCGTTCTCCGTTTTCGGTGCTTGTGCCTTTTTATTCCTCCTCCCGGACGGACCGGACCGGAATGCCTTTCTGCCGTGTTTCTCGGATTTTTAGTTCGCGTTTAGACGTCGACGGCAACGGAGACGGAGACTGAGAAGCCGAGAAACTGGGAACTGAGCAATTGAGAGACTGAGACTGAGACTGCGACGGCGATGCCTCAGAATCACTCGAATTCGTGGGTAAAAAGCAACGGCGTTGCTGAAGATGCTGTGCCGAGCAACGTTACGTATACGTAACGTGGGCTGCGCGTGTTCGTGATAATAAGTGTGTTTCTACTGCTCGAAACAACAATAAAAACGACGATGATGATGATGCAGATAATTACGTGACTAACGATGTTGCTTATGCTGCTGTTCGTACGTCATCAACATGATGTGCAGGATGGAAAAACAAAACAACGGCCACATTGCGTATACGTAACGTAAATTTCTTGTGTTCGTGTTAATAAATAAATGCGGCACTTGTAGAACAACAAATAAAATTATTATAATGACAACAACTGGCAATTATGGTGCTTCTCCTCTTTGATTGTTATTAAACAAATGCCGCGTGTGTGTAAAAAAATAAAATAAAAACAAAAGCCAAGATGTGAAACTTATTTTCCATTTTTTTTGTTGTGTTTGAGTTATGTGCAAGAACGCAATAGCAATTTCAACACAAGTGAATTTCGCGCCCCACCCCAAATAAAAAAAAATTGCACTCGCGTGCCGGCAACTGGCGACTGCGACGCCGACTGCGACTGCGAGCGTCTGAAATGCCGCTGACCACAAATCTAATAAGCCTTGCATTCTTCCCCTAGTTAATTTTAATTGCAACTGATTTATGAACAACAAAATCATTTTTTAGTGGTCTTTTGGTCGCTTCTGGGTCTGCAGTATTTTGTTTTGCCATTTCCTTTGCTCTTCTTCGTGAGTGTGTGGTTTTTCCTTTTGTTTTTTGTTTCCTCCATATATATTCCGTTGCCGTCGTCGGGCAGCGAGAAAAGCTAAAGCCAAGCATCCGGCAGTTGGGCACTGAAAAAGTGTTTTTCGTCCACGGGTGCAGGAGACAAAACGGTCGCTGAACTGCCGGTCCGATGAACATTCTCGAACGAAGCTTAATAACCTTAATTTTACATCTAAGTATGTACATAACAAATTCATAAGTCTCAGATTTTTACAAAAGGTGGCTTATAAAAAGTTTTTTTGTTTAGGGCACACCCAGTGCGACAGCCTAAAAAAGAGCCGGCTGCAGAGATTCTCCGTGTATGACAACTAACAACAAAATTTGGATAAGCTAGAAGATAGTGTTCGTACAATACGGTCGAAAATAAAATCAACAAGAAAGGAAGCAAACTTCGGCAAGCCGAAGTTTATATACCCTTGCAGTTATTACAAATCGACTACATTTCGATTTGTATGCCTATATTACTAAAAACAATGAAGCTATGTCGATTTTGTTTTTTTTTTTTGCGCTGCATTTTGCTTGTTCCTATGACAGCTATATGGTATTGTTGTCCGATTTTGATTTAATTAAAACCGCAATTCCATAATATTTAAATATTACCAAATCCCAAAGAACAACAAAAAAAATTAAAAACAACAAAGTTATAATTTTTATACCCGTTACTCGTAGAGTAAAAGGGTATATTGTATTCGTGCAAAAGTATGTAACAGCTAGAAGGAAGCGTTTCCGACCCTATAAAGTATATATATTCTTGATCAGGGTCACTAGCCGAGTCGATATAGCCATGTCCGTCTGTCCGTCTGTCTGTCCGTCTGTCCGTCTGTCCGTCTGTCTGTCCGTATGAACGCCGAGATCTCGGAAACTATAAAAGCTAGAAGATTGGCATTTTGCAAGCAGATT